AGATGGGGGCCAGATGTTCTGAGCCCAAGTAGACTCATTCTAAATAGATATACAGAGCGTGAATCTATCGTTCTTGGGGGATCTGGCCCTAAAATACCTGTTTGACTGAATGAAGGGAGAGCAAGGCTGTGAGTTGTGAATATGCGAGGTGGATCACTGTCCACAGAACAGAAAACTGAGAATACAGACTCCATGTTAACCCCAGTGATCCAGCAGTTGTTTTCCAAGTTCTCCTAAACATTTCTTGCTGCCTAGGAGAAAGGGAAATTCTGAAAACATTCTAATAGTACCCTCTCTGATAATCACACTGAAAGACAGAAAGCTTGTATGTTGGGGAAAGAAATTTATTTCATTGCAGATTGCAGCCATCCCAATTAATATTTGTGTTGTAATTTGCAACATGCACAGCACTTTTTATAAATGGGAGCTGATTCGATCTTTGCAGCGTTCTAGTGAAAAGGCCGAAGAAAGTGTCCTTATTTCCATTTCATAGATGCAGAAGATTCACAATGGTTTAATGACTTATCCAGAGTTAAACAGGCCAAAAGAGAACACAAAACAGAGTGAAAGGAAGGAAAACACAAGAAAGAAAGAGATAAACTGCATTATCTTCAGAGAGCTGTTGGCATCTCAGTCACTAAGATGCAGGAGACTTTCTGTCAATACAAGGGCAGGGGAACGCAGCAAAGCCACTCAGCTCTACTAGTCTCCCCACCTCTGAATTCTGAGATCCAGTTGCTGAGGAAGCCTAGGGGGTTAGCCCACAGCTCCACACAAAGGGGACAGAGCAAACACTGGGCTTTATCACCAATTCAAACTGCGAGCTTCCTCCCTTTCTTATGCATATTTGGCAGGTCACTGTAAGAGGTTAACCAGAAACTCAAGTTCATGCTGTTGTAAGTAGAACCCTGCCTTTCTGCCTTTCCCTCGGACCCTCACACTCCTGAGTTTTTCTGCTCCTGCTGCGCTGTTGCTGCTGCTGTTCATGTTTTTTCTCCTCCCTCAGCATCACTCACTTCCTCTCCCTTTTTTCCATGAGCATTTCTCTCCCCAGTCCTCCTCCTCCCCACTGTTTCCCCCTCTGCTCCTGGGGGAACCAAACAGCTCCACTGTGAGGGCTCTGTGAAACACAGGAACAGGTTGTGGATAACTGACCTGGCGAAGTGGAAGACATCACAGGAAACCACACTGATATCCTAGGGCCCCGTCAGCCTGGGCTAGGTTGGAGTTTCCCCTCTGTTTTACTGGCAGCAACTCTGGAAAGTCAGATGGCCAGATGGTCCCAGAAAAAAACTCCCTGGTCCAAGGACATAAAGGCAGAGCAAATTTGATAGTAAGTCCCTAGAAATGTTGAATTATGGTTTATGGTCTCTGGAATCAGGTTGAATCTAGGAACCCTGATAGCTAGAATGCGACCTAAAACTACAGTGAGTACAATGTGGCCTCATCCAAGGGTCATTAAACCTTGTGGAGAAAGATGCCCCTTCCCGTGCTGAGAGCTGACTATATTCTGGTTTAACGTTTGTTTTAAAATATTATAAAAGGGCCCTGACTGGTATGGCTCAGTGGGCTAGGCATCATCCCACAAACTGAGGGGTCACTCGTTAGATTCTAGGTTAGGGCACATGCTTAGGTTGTGGGCCAGGTCTCCGAATGGGGTCATGCAAGAGGCAACCGTTGATGTTTCTCTCCCTCTCTTTCTCCCTCTCTTCCCACTTTCTAAAAATAACATTATACAATCTATTCTTTAATAGGACTTTTTTTTAAAGATTTTATTTATTTAGAGAGAGGGGAAAGGAGGGAGAAAAAGAGGGAGAGAAACATCAATGTGTGGTTACCTCTCGCATGCCCCCAACTGGGGACCCAGCTGTAACCCAGGCATGTGCCCTAACTGGGGATTGAATTGGCAACCCTTCAGTTCTCAGGTCTGCACCCAATCCATTGAGCCACACCAGCCAGGCTAAAAAATTTTTTTAAGTATTATAAAAGGTGGCACTATGGCCTTATGAAGTTCATATTCCCCTTCTTCATCCCAATCTGAGTGGATGTTTGTAACTAAAAAAAGGGGGTGCAGTTGTGAATGGGCAGGATCAGGGGGCATAAGCCAGACCTGAGTCATGGAGCTAGACTTGGATTAGAGCAAAGGAACTGCCAGAGGAGCTAAAAGGAAGAGAATCTTTTCTTTCCTCAGTTAGTTAGAGCATCATCCCAGTACACCAGGGTTGCAGGTTGATCCCTAGTCAGGGCACATACAAGAATCAACCAATGGCCCTGACTGGTGTACCTCAGTTTGTTGGGTGTCATCCTGCAGAGAGAAAGGTCACTGGTTCAATTCCCAGTCAGGGCACATGCAAGGGTTGAGGATTTGGTCGCTGGTCAGAGCGCAACCAATCGATGTTTCCCTCTCACATCGATGTTTCTCTCCCTCTTTTTCTCCCTTGCTTCCCCCTCTCTAAAAATAAATAAATAAAATCTTTTTAAAAGATCAACCAATGAATGCATGAATAAGTGGAACAACAAAGTAATGTTTCTCTCCCTTCCTGACCTCCCTCTAAAATTAATCAATAAAATTTTAAAAAATAATTTAAAAGACAAATAGGTATAAGAGTTTTCTCACCAACCAACCGACATTGAGATTAGAAGTATCTGGGATCCCTAAAAGCAAACACGGTCAGGGTATGGGCAAAATGACAACCATCCCAACAGCAGGAACTTCCAGAGAAAATAAGGTGCAAATTGGGTTGAAACAAACTGGTTGAGAAATCTGACTCCCAAGAAATGACTCCAGGAATTTGACTGGAGAAAATAGTGAAGACAAAACAATCCCAGAATCACAAACCTAAGAAAGAACGTAGTCAGGGGTATCCAACCTGAGGCCCATGGGCTGCATGCGTTCCAGGATGGCTACGAATGTGGCCCAACACAAAATCATAAGCTTACTTAAAACATTATGAGATGTTTTTGTGATAACATGTCGCAATATATTTAATGTGTGGCCCAAAACAAGTCTTCTTCCAGAGTGGCCCAGAGATGCCAAAATCACCCCAGATTCTAGAGTCTGTTTGTTTTTTTACAAGACTAGGATCTATTAGGGTAAAGAGGCTATAGTCAGCATATTTCAAACCAGAGCGGTAGCAGAAAGAGTCTAGTAAAGGAAGTTCTCTGGTCCTGGCAACCTTAGCAAAGGACAAAGGAGGCTTCTGGCTTCTGCAGGATCAGAATCCTAAAGCCAATGGAATTCATTTACTGAAGTCCCAGATAAGACATAGCAAACACAGTCCCTAACTCTGGGACACAGAACTCTGCCCAAAGCAATATAGGAATGGCTGGGTTCTGAGCAGGACAGGGGGGTTCTTTAGCATCCCGGAGGAAAACTAGCTGGTAGAACCTGTTCTTCCCAGGATGGGAGGTAACACAGAAGGGAACAGAAGGGAAGAAACTCACAGCTGGGCTCAGTCTTCCTTGAATGCTCTGGGAAAGCTCCGTCCACAGAAAACAGTTAATAACTTGGACATAGTCATAGGATAAGAGTTAGAACAAGCTCTAAATATGAATGAGATCTTTTTTAATTCAGAATTCCCTTTGTATATCTCTACGTATATACTTCTTTCCGCTCATATAACATTTGCTTTAAGACAATGATTCTCCAGGGTATGGAAAGTGGGGAAAAGGCAAAGCAGACCCTTGGGTAGGCATGAAAGATGGGGGCAGTGAGCATTTATAGTTTATAAGATTACCAGCTGACTCTGATATTTCCTTCCCTTTCCTCTTTAAGAACTACTGCTCAAGAAATTATCCAGCCCTAGCTGGGTTGCTCATTTGGTTAGAGTGTTGTCTTGATATGCCAAGGTTGCAGATTTGGTCCCCTGACAGAGCACATACAAGAATCCAATGAATGCATAAGTAAGTGAAATAACAAATCAATGATTTCTTTTCTCTTTCTCTTTCCCTCCCTCTAGAACAATAAATGAAAAGTAATAAAAATTTTAAAAAGTTGCCCAACTGGAAGAAAGAAGGACTGCTGCTTTGTCGGGTTAGTGTGCCTCGTGTTGGCCCACAGAGAGGGAGGGCAAAGGGAATATGATTTAAATCATTGCCATATTGATACAGAGAGATCTGATCAGATCACTGGGGAGAGGCAGGGAGGGGCTGTAGGAGGAGTTTGCTGAGGCAATGGTAAGCAGTCTAGGACGGGATTGGCTGAGGAGATGAATGCCTCCAGAAGACATGGATATAAAAAAAAAGGGCTGGCTCTCTGGCTCATGGGCTGTCTGGCTCCTGGGCTGGCTCTCTCTGGCTCTTGGGCTCTTCTTCCTCAAGGCTGCCTGGATGATCATGCTGCAACTGCCTGTGTTTCCCAACAGATGGTATTTTGGATGGGAAGGAACTCCAGGCACAGCCTAGGATCAGGCTGGCCTGGCAGGGGGTGGCAGGTTTATTCTTTGGGTGAAGAATGGTGAGGCAGAAGCTTGTCATTCCTCCAAAACTGTGTAACTTTTGTATCTTATGTTGTTTTAGCTTATAAACTAATCCTATAGAAATAAGATAACTAAAAACTAATAGTGGGGGGGAAATGACAGGAGAATCCAGGTGTTAGAGTTTAGCCCTAATTGATAGGCCTAAATGACTAATTCTTGTGGAAAGCTGTTATACCAAAATTGTGAAGCTTTTGAATAAAGACTCTTTTCCTTTATCACCAAACCTTTGCCTCTGGAATTTTTCCTAGAGGGTGGCGGCGGACAGCAGGGCCCCAACTTGCTGTTCAGTAACAATATCAATGGTGCAACCAATCTGCAATTAGCCCAAATCTTTGTCTTAATCCTCTCAGGCTATTATAACAGTATCTCAGACTGGGTGGCTTTTAAAGAACACAAATTAATTTCTCACAGTTCTAGAGGCTGGGAGTCCAAGATCAAGATGCCAGCATATTTGGTATCTGGTGAGGGTTCATTTTCTGACTCAGAGATAACCATCTCCTCGCTGTGCTTCACAGGATGGAAGGATTGAGGAAAGACATGTGGCAACTGCAGGAATTATGCTGACCTGAGCTGTCAAAACCTCTCCAGGTTGCTCTCACATTAGTTGGAGATCCCATGGCTACAACCAGAGTCCTTGGACACATGTCGTGGAGTGTCTTTTTTTAATCCTCATCTGAGGATATATTCCTTGGTTTTTAGACAGAGAGAATAAGAAAGGGGGAGAGAGAGAGAAACATCAATGTGTGAGAGAAATATTGATCGGGTGCCTTCCATACACGCCCCTACCAGGGATTAAACCTGCAACCTAGATTGTGTGCCTTGATCCGGAATTGAATCAGCAAACTTTTGGTCTTCAGGATGGTGCCCAACCCACCAAGCCACAGTCAGGGCTGGATTCTCTTTTATATGGGAACTAATCTCATCCGTAAGGGTTCAACCTTCATGACCAAATCACTTCTCAAAGACCTCACCTTCAAATACCATCACACTGGGGATTAGGTTTCAACATATAAATTTTGGAGGCTACAGGCACTTGGTCTATAGCATTCCTCAATCATCCTCAAAATTGCCCTAGCATCATACCCAGGAATTAAATGTTATTTAAGATATGAACCCTGGCTGGTGGGGCTCAGTGGATTGAGCACCCACCCACAAACCAAAGGGTTGCCAGTTTGATTCCTGGTCAAGGCATATGCCTGGGTTGTGGGTCAGGTCCCCGGTTGTGCCTGTGAGAGGCAAACAATCGAGGTATCTCTCACACATCGATATTTCTCACCCTCTCTTTCTCTCTCCCTCCCCCTCTCTCTAAAAAGTAAATACATAAAATCTTAAAAAGCATTAAAAAAAACAGTGAGCCCTGGCTGGGTAGCTCACTTGGTTAGAGTGTAGTCCTAACATGCCAAGGTTACGGTTTTGATCCCCAGTCAAGGCACATACAAGAATCAACCAATGAATGCATAAGTAGGAGAACAACAAATTGATGTCTCTCTCTTTGTCCCCTTTTTTTTCTCTCTTTCTCTAAAACCAATTAAAAAAATAAAAATATATGAGTATCTTACAGGAAGATAGCATGACCCAACTAAATCTTTTCTCCTCCAAAATTAAAAGAATTATAGAAGAAGGTAATAGACTTACCCTTGATTCATTAATTCAGTTAGTCCACAAACATTTATTCAAGACTGTAGTTCTCCATTTCTGCTATAACAAATTACCACAAATTTAATGACTTAAAACAACACACTTTTATTATCATACAATACTATAAATCAAAAGTCCTAAGTGAGTCTCACTAAGCTAAAATGAAGGCATTGGCAGGGTTGTTTTCCTGGAGGCCCCAGGGGCAATCCAAGTCCTGCCATTTTCCAATTTCTAGAAGCTGCTCACATTCCTTGACTCATGGCCCCTCCATCTTCAAATCCGTGTCCATCAATGCCAAGGAGTCCTTCTCACAGTATCTCTGGTTTTCCCTCTTCTGTCTTCTTTCTCACTCATAAGGTCTCTTTTGATTACTTTGGGTCTGCCAGATGACCTAGGATACGTCCTCATATCCAGTTCACTTGATTGGCAACTTAATTCCATCTGCAGCTTTAATTCCCCTTCGCCATGCAACCTAACATACTTACAGGTTCCTGGAGTTAAAAAGCGGACATCTTCAAGGAGCTATTACTCTGTCTAACGCAAATGCTATCACAGTCTGGGTAATATTCCAAAGGCTGCTCCAGAGAGCAGAAGTAGGATCAGTGAGCGGCAGTAAAAAGTGCTTAGTTTGTTATCTTATGTAAATTATAATTCAGCTAAGCTTTAAGAAGTTCATAGCTTGACATTCAAGGTCCTCCATAATCCTAATGTCACTGGAGAGGGACTGGGCCTGAAATGGGTCTGCCTCAGGCTGGCTGGTAGTTTGTGGGTTCTTGACTTCATTCAGGAAAGATTTCACAAGGCAGGTCCAGGGGATTTTTGAGAGTACGCTTATTTTTTTTTTATTAATTTATTTATTTTTTTATTTTTTCAAATACATTTGAGAGAGTACACTTATTAAAGCTGAAGACAGTGAAACAGAGGAAGGACTTGGAGTAGAAGTAACAAGAGAGAGAATAGGCAGTGCTGTGCCTTGGCTCCTTAGAAATGTTCTACAGAAGAAGTGAACCACAGCAGGGCTGCCGTTAGCTCACTGCAAAGTCAGAGAAAAGGGGGCCTTGGAGACAGGTTTGGGGGGTGAGCCCAGGAGGAGCTGCAGCCGCACATTGCTCCCCTGCTTGCAGACCTCAATGGGATACATACATCAGCTTTATGCTGATGTGCCAAAATGAGATTTATTCTTCTGACTTCATCTGTCTTTAGGTGTGGTTGGCACAAATGGCGCTAATTGGATTTCTGTTATCTGTCTCCCAGAGTAGGTTGATTTAAGCTATTTAACCTCTGGTTGAGGAGAAGTGTAAACCATTTACTCTTAAGTGTCCTTGGTTAGAGAAGACAGGATTTTGCAATGCACTAGATGGCTATAAACTGCCTGGCCGTTTATCTGTCTCAGTTTCCCTATTCTACTTGCCCTGACTTACTAACCTGTCTTACTAATAACAGTTATGATTACCACTCTTTAAGAGTTTACTATGACATATATATTACTACTAATTTTTCTCACAAGACTATGAAGCAGATATACTATATTTCCTTTCTACAGATGAAACTAGGGCTCAGATGAAGTGAATTGCCCAGGCTTACACCTCTCGTCAGTGGCAGAGACAAAATCAGAGCTAAGTCACTGTGCACTAACCTCCAGCCTCTTCCTTCAGTACGTCCTCCACACTCCACCACGGCAGCCTGTTCTCCAGTTCCCAAGATGGTGTTCCCAGGCTACCATGCACACTCCCTCCATTACATCTCTAAAGAACCCATTTCAAAGCCACTATTACTGAAAAGCCCTCCTTGTCCCCTCAAGTACAAGGCCTTTTTTCTTATGGGCTCACATAGCTACTAACCACTTCCAGCAGAGCAGTTTTCAATTTGTCTTATGGTGGTGTTACCAGTTACCTTCTTCTTCTTTTTTTAAAATATGTTATTTATTTATTTGTAGAGAGAGAGGGAGGGAGGTAAAAAGAGAGGGAGAGAAACATCAATGTGTGGTTGCCTCTCCTGCACCCCTACTGGGGGCCTGGCCTGTAACCCAGGCATGTGCCCTGACTGGGACTCAAACTGGTGACCCTTTGGTTTGCAGGTCAACACTCAATCCACTGTGCCACACCAGCCAGGGCTTACCTTTTTTCAGTAGATTCTAATCTTTCTGAGAGCGGGAGCCCTTTCTTATTCATTTTTGTATCATTATAGTGTCTGGTCAGTTCGTCGTACATTATGCATTCAACATTGTTTTCCGAAATACTCTGAGGCTAAATGACTCTGTGAATTTACTCTTTAATGCTCCCTCTGCTCTAAATACATAGCAGGGATAGATGAAACATAAACAGAAACCAAAATGATAGTACTGAGCTCAAAACAAAATTATCATTTCTGTGACCCTGAACTAAATAGAAACACAAAGTCATGAGCAAGACTGAAGCCTCAGTTGCTTCAAGGACCCTAGTAAGCTGTAGGGGAAGTGGCTAGGCACTTAGGGGACAAAGAGTACTCCAGTCTAGAATCAGGCTAGGGCTTGAAGCCAGGGCTTGGGGCACTTTCTTCACTAGCTTTTAACAACCCTGAAAGCAAGAGAATCGCCAATTACCAATTCAATGGAAGCCAGGAGGGGATCCTACAGGGTCCAGCTTGCCAGTGAATGCAACAGCACCCAAAGATGCAACAAAGTCTCATAGTGACAGTGCAGATGGGACCCTATAAACTCTCAAAACTACAAACAAAGCTCCCTCTCTGCAATTAGGAAACACTGCTGGAAATGGAATCCCACAGACAAGGACAAATACAAAGCAGGTTCAAATAAAAGTAAGGGAAGGAAGCAGAAGAGTCAATTCTCAGAACTTATTAGGCCATATGTTTTTTAATCACTATGTAAATACAACTAAATAGGAAGCTCTACTCTAGAACTTGATACTCTTGTTTCTCTTCAGATCACATAAATCTTTTGCCTTTTACTCTAGAACTTGAAACTGTATGTTGAAAAGACGTGCCATGTATCTGGGAAAATTGATCCAGAATGACCAATATAGAGACATGGTCTACTGAAACTATTGGACTTGAAAGAAATAGAAACAATATGGCATCGGGGCAGGGGGTGGGTGGAGAAAAGACCCAGGGGAAAATTTTCATATTTTTGTTGCTTAACACTTTATCCAGAAAGCAATGAAAATGTGAACTACAGATTTTATATCTAGACAAAGTGATCTTCAAGTATAAAGGCTATATAAAAACTGTTGGGAATACTGCAAAAACTCAGAGACTACTGTTCTTTCTGAGAAATCAACCAAAGAAAAATATCAAAGTCAGCTCTGGCTGGAGTGGCTTGGTTAGGTGTTGTCTCTCAAACCAGAAGGTCATGGGCTTAATCCCCCATGCCTAGGGGCACATGCCTAGGTTGAAGGTTCAGTCCCAGTCAGAGTGTATGTGGGGATGGGCAGGGGGGTGTTTGGAGGGGGTGAGGAGAGGTAGGTTGAGGAGGTGAGGGGAGGGGAGGGAGTAGTAGCTGATCAATGTTTCTCTCCTTCTCTCCCTCCCTTTCCCCTCTCTCTAAGGTCAATGAGCATGTCCTCGGGTGAAGATAATAAACAAATAAATAAAAAGAAAACAAAAATATCCAAGTCAAATCATCAAATATGGAGATAAGTTGAGTTTTTAAAGCTTGGTGGTAGAGAGCTTTCTATTTGTATTGCAACTTTTCTGATCATTAGAAGTATTTTCTAATTTACAGCATACATTTGTGGTTAAGAGCATGGACTCTGAAACCAAAGGGCTTTGTCACTTATGAGTGGGTAACATTAGGAAAGTTACTTAACTTTTCTGTGCCTCATTGGAAAAAGTGGGATAATAGTCTCTACCCTACACTATTGTTAAGTACATTAATTATATTAACATTTCTAAACCTCTTTTCTTTTTTGAGAGCATAATGTATTAATGCTGGGGACAATGAAACAAAAGACGGCTTAGAACAGAAGAAGCAACAGGAGAGAGACTAGGCTCACTGGAAAGTCAAAGAAAAAAGG